CAGGAAGAGAATGCCCCACTGAATGTGGCTTGAGTTTCTGAGACCTCCTCCAACAAAGCCACACCTATTCCAAGGAGGCCTCACTTCCTAATAGTGCCACTCCGTATGGGCCTATGGGGCCATTTTTATTCAAACCACCACAGTCGTCATGAATTTTAACCCTCTGAAACTTTAAGCCAAATTAAACACTTTGTTTTTATAAGTTTCTTGGTCATGGTGTTTTATCACAGCAATAGAAAATTAACTAAGACAAAGGCCATAGCTTTACCGTCTAGACTACACTTCAAGTCTTCTGGCTTTAACCCAGTACTTTCCTATCTATTACAACATACTTCAAATTAAGGGCAAATGACAAAATACACCTGTCAACATATTTTGGCAACATGAGTTGTTAGTGGACAGAAGAGTCATATGCATTCTGGCATCCAAGGAAAAGATTTGGCAACTGTGTACATTTCTCCCAAGTAAGCTTCTCAGTCCTGCTCACTGTCTGAATAATGTACTTGTTCCACTGAGGAACACTTCTGCATACTCTTTCATGTGCTATTTTAGTAATATTGATTGGCTAATTGTGAAGACAAAATTTTTATATTAGATCATAAAGAAAGCCTGCCTTTTGGTTTTGTCAGTTTTATTCCTGCTGCTGGTTAAAGATCTTTATTTATACCTTATAAAATTTTACTTAGCCAAAATGTTTAATGTGTAAGAAAGCTTAAACATAGGCTTTGTCTTGTGGTAAAATAATGTGGTTTTAGTCAATACAATACATTAACCAGTTTGCAGTCTGAGGTTGAAAGTTAATTTTGTTTTGTTGACTTTTTCAGTACTCTAGAAAGCATCCTAGGATCCTTTGTAAAATGCACAATTAATGAACTCTGTGAAATGCAGAGAGATTGTTTAATCTAATTCAATGGGAAAAAAACTCAAATACCTAATTTTGAAAGAATTAGAAACATAACATTTGAGAAATTGTTGTTATACTCATGAACTAAGATAAACTGACAAATTCTCATTTTCAAAGAAGCTTTCTAGATGGCTTTGGCTTCTAGAAGTTATATAGAATTAGGATAATTTGGCCCAAGTGGAAAAGGAAAATGATTATGGAGATAAATTCAGATCATTTGCTTTAGTTTACCCAGAGAACAATACATAAAAACGCTAATAGAGTCTTTGCCTGCTGGGAATTGGTAAACAATAAGGAAGATAGAAACCACAAATCATCACATCTTTGTGTGTGCATGTTTATGCGCACCTAAGTGCATGTGTATGTAGTTGGGGGATGACAAATTTGGTGGTGTCCATCAGGTTCAGTTTACCTTGTTTATTTAATAGGATCTCATGGGCCTTGAGTTCACCAAGTATACTAGTCTAGCTGGCCAATGAGCCCAGGAGGATTCTGCCTCTGCCTCTCAAGAGCTAGGATTACAAGTACCACTAAGCCCAGATTTTGCTTTTAGTAGGTACTGAGAATCTAACTTAGGTTCTTGTGCTTACAAGACAAGCCCTTTACCGACTGGGCTATCATTCCAGACTTAGTACTGATGTCTTGAGATGCAAATTCATTTCTCTTTAATATAAATAGAATAAGTATTGACAGTACTCACCAAAGACACAAACTTTCTATCCTGTTGCTTTGTCATTCTCAGTATGTAGGTGTTACCTGATTTTCTAAGATCATTTTACTTCAGTCATAATTGGGTAATTCAGCTCTGCAACCATTCACCCCAACTGAATAGAACTGCTTTCTTTCCAGCCAAATGAGAGACAGAGATACACAAAGTGTGATAATCTATCACAAGACATTGCTATAATTGTTCTACTTTGCTGTGTGTGGTGCTGTGTGCTTGTAGTTCCAGATGCTTGGGCGAATGAGATGAGAAAACTGTTTGATCTGAGTAATTTAGACCAGCCTAGGTAACAGAAAGGTCTCATCTCAAGGGGTTATCTCTATGGGACTGGGGAGCTAGGGCAGTGGTTGAAGTCCATGAAGTCCTGAAATTCAGTGGAGTATGCCTATAGCAATCTTACAGAGATGCAGACAGAAGGAGCTCTGGGGCCTATTTGCCAGCTCATCTAGCAAAACTGGTAAGCCCCATCGTGAGTGTAAATTAAAGAAGGAGTCTGGATGGCCCAAAGAAGTCTTTTGTGTTAAACATTTAAACATGTTTTCATATATTGTACACAAGTTATTTATCAGCTTCTTTCTGAAACTTGTGTTGAGGATTGTTACATGAATCCTAACAGAATGTCTTAAATCAAACATGTTATTTTACTAAATAGTAATAACAAACTCACACTCCCTTCTCAATATAGATTTTAGTATTTTAGAATGTCTTTCTGTTTTGTTCTCTCGAAAGCATAGGCTGTTCTTTCGTAAATCAATTGACATAATTTGACTTGCTATATTTGACAACATTTTTTGGGTTCATATTTTTTTTTCTCATGCCAAGTTCTGCATTTTTCATTTCCCACAGAATCAGGACAAACTGTACATCCCCTGCAGTGACCAGGGAAGATTTGGCTAAATGTCAAGTATGTTAATTGGTATAGAGAAAACAACGGCCTTATTTTTATCTGATTAAAATCCCCACAAGCATTCCCTTATAAACTAGAGCCATGTCAGTACAAAGTGACTTAATTATAAGTTTGGCAGATGTGTCCTTCCTGCCCCTCCTTTACTGTAGCATATAGAACTGTAACTGTTTCCTGGCAACTTCCAGAATCTCAAATTTTAATTCTATTTTTGGAAGTTTATAATTTGGTACCCAAAACCTTTTCTGGATTATCAATTAAAATTTAAAAGGCATTTGTTTTAACATGTATTTATTTTAAAATATTTAAACAATTGATTTACTAAATAACCTTGCTCAAAAGGCAGTTTGAAAAGTTGGGGAGGTGGCTCGGTGTGTTAACTGCTTGCTGCCCAAGCATGAGGATCTGAGTTCAGATCCTAAGCACTCATGTGAAAGTTAGGTGTGGCGGCCTGTGTCTTCCTGTATCTTTAATCCCTGTGCTGGGGAGGCAGAGATGAGCTGGTCCCAGGGGCTGGCTGTCTAGCCAGTCCAGCCAAAGGTAAAAGTCCAGGTTCACTAGAGACTTTATCTCAAAAAATAAGGTGTAGAGTGAGAGGGGAGGATATATATATTAACCTGGCCTCGACACCTACACACCTTACACACCTTACACACCTTACACACCTTACACACACACACACACACACACACACACACACACACACACACACACTAGTCTGAGATACTTTATTCTACTGTTAAAAAGTCTACAATTTTTTTTAAAGCCCCAGAATGAGAAGGTTATATAAGATAATTGCTTCAGTTAATTGGGATGTAGGAGGTGTAGGTGTAAAAGAGTAAAGGGTAATGAACTTTGATAAATTTATATGAGCAATAAGAAGGTATCAGGTAAAACTTAGCTTTTTCTAGAGTAGCTGTAGCTTCAGTGCTTGTGTAAAATTGTATGTTGCCTCTTTAAGGTTGGGATTTCCCAAGACTATTCTGCCACTAGCTTGTTCTCAGTTAACCTTCATAATTTCACGACTTCACTATTTGTACATGCACTTGCATTGTCTGACACACTAGAATCTTTATTGGAAGCCACAAGAGGATCCTTTGGTATCTTAGGGAGCTAGATCCATTTGGATGCCTCATATGAGTTCTGTAAACCAGGCTGGCCTTGAGCTCACAGAGATTCACCTTTCCTAGAGTCAAGTATCTTTTTCTTTCTTTCTTTCTTTCTTTCTTTCTTTCTTTCTTTCTTTCTTTCTTTCTTTCTTTCTTTCTTTCTTTCTTTTTTAAAATCTGGGCAGTCATCATTTAACCTTATCAGAGCCTGAAGAACTAGCCCCATGTCTGGCCAGCATCAAGGTTATGGTCTCAGGACCTGAGTAAAGGACAACAGGGTCTATTAGCAAAGAAGGAAGGGGATAATAAGTCAAGGGGATAATATAGTCAAGACAATAAAGATGCAAGACCAAGAGGACAAGCATGCAGAGAAGAATGTAATCCTCAGTGAAGTCTTGCTCCAACGTTCTTAGATGGGAAGAACCTTCTTCATATAGTCATCATCAATTGTTCCTATTAGACAGCTATTTATTTATATTATCTGGAATTCTCAATATGCCATGTAAAATCCTTCATATACTGGCAATATCCCGGAGGCCAACTCCTAAGCTTCTATTTCTTCTGGCCACACTGGCCTTCTATTATGTAAACAAGTTCAACTTGTTCTTAGTTGAGAATCTATTTATTGTTCCCTTTGTATAAAATGATCTCTCCTTCCTTTCCCTCAAATCCTCATCCTCCTTTGTACCCTTTTTGCTCTCTCATTTTTTGAGACATGAACTCATTCTTTAGTCTAACATGGCCTCAAACTCATGGCAATCTTCATACTTTTGCTTTCTTGGTGGGATTAGAAGCTTGAGCTACTACACTGGGCACTCAGGTCAAGGGTCATCTCCTTAGAAAAGCTCCAGATTAAAGTCTTATTTCCCTATTTGTCTTTTTAAAAATAGTGTGTAATTGTTGGACAAAATAATGGGTTTCACTGATTCTCCCATACACATACTTTGATCATACTCACTGCTGATTACTCTTCCATCCCCTTTCACATTGTTTTGCGAGTGATGACCATTCGCTGAGAGTAGATGGAACCTCAGTGCACATTTTGAGTTGTACTTTCAGGATGATTAAGGGTATTAACATGTTTATTGGCAATTTGTACTTCTTTTTGAAAACTGTGTGTTAAATTTATTTGTCTATTTATTCGTTATATGATTTATTACCAGTGTCTAACTTTTTTAATTCCTTATGTAGTAAGGATTAGAGGCATACTGCACCACACCCAGTTTATGCATGTAATCCCACTGTCAATCTTGCTATTATTTCTTCAGTTACTTAAGTACTTTCCAGAAAACCTTTGCCTATAGACACCTCTATGTATTAATTACTTATTTTATTGCTATGACAAAAGAGCCAACAAAAGCAACTTAAAGAAGGGTTTATTTGGGCTCTCAGTTCAAGCATACAGTCTATCATTGCAGGAATGTAATGGTAACAGGAACTTGAGGTAGCTGGTCAGGTTGTTTCCATCAAGGTCAAGGAGCAGAGCATGAATGCTGCTGCACAACCCCCTTTCTCGTTTTCATTCAGGCAAAGAACCTAGGCCATGGAACCTGGCTCACATTTAGGGTAGTCTTCCCCACTTCAATTAACCAATCCTAGACAATCCTCACAGACATGCTCAGAAAATTGTCTCCATGGCGATTCTAAATCCTGTCAAGTTGACAAGCAAGAATAAATATCACAACTGGGAAAGAACCTAAGCAAGGAAGACCTCTATAATAAAAGCTTGAAAGCAATGAAGAACAAAATTGAAGACACTAGAAGATAGAAAAATCTCCCACGTTCCTGCATTAGCAGAATTAATACTGTAAAACTGATTCAATGAAATCTCCACCAAAATTCAATGGTATTATTCACAGGAATAAGAAAAAGAAAAATCCTAAAATTCATATAAAGCACAAAAAAATCCAAGTAGCCAAACAACATTAGCAGAAAGAGCAATCACAACTCTTGATCTTAAATTATTTTGTGGAGCCACAGTATAAGATTTATTCTAGATAACAGTTTGAAATATTTTGGCTATTTATTATTTTTCTCTCATACAAGTAATTCTTTTACAAAGTGAAAATATTACTTTGGGTGTTCTGGTCTTTTAGCTCTCCTAGGCAGCGCTTCTCCAATCACTCACTTGTGAACCCAAGGTGTCTTCCATGTTGTGGTTTCAACTTCTTAATTCTCTGAAGACTATTCAGCTGGGAGCGGGAAAAGAAAGAATGTTAAACACATGTTAGAGGTTTTCAGGGCGTATTGCCCAAACCATCATCGTTTTCTGCCTATGTTCTCTTGGATAGATATCAGGCATTTGGCCCCAACTAATCATAAAGGTGGCCAGGAAACAGTCTAACTGTATGCTTAAGGGAAGAGAGAAGCCATTTGGTCATCAGATGTTTGCATCCTTGAAGTAGTGAAGCTGTTTCAGAATGGAGATAATGTATATTATGCTTGGCACAAAAAAAAGTAATCAACACTCGAATGTTACTATTATCACAAGTATGTATGCTTAGAGCTTGAATTAGCTTCCTGTCATTCTCCCACCGGGCGGGGTCCTGGGACTGTCTTCTGGATGGGGGTTCTGAATGGGGGTTCTGTTTCCCTCATGGGAAACTAGAGTGCTTTAGGGTGAGGCCCCTGTTGCGCTAAACCAGGGTATGGGAAAGGTTTTCAACAGAGTGGTTACAGTTTATCTCTTTTAGCATAAGATTGTCAGTGGTAGTGGAAGCTCAGTATTCCAAAGCCTATGGCAATACAAAAGTGTTACATCTCTTGGTCTAGCTGCTGTGCTAAGCATGGCAGAAGTGCAGGCCAAAGCCCGTGCCTGGTCAGCTTGCAGCCAAGACAGGCCTAGGTCCATCAGATTGGAGGGCAGGCCTGGTGAGATGTGGCCCAGTGAGATGAGGATAAATGACGAATCTCAGTTGGTCTTGAAGTGAGAAAGTTTGTACCTTTATTCCTGTGAAGTCAAGGGCAATATAAAACCCTGGGCTGAGGGAGGGTGACTGTTGTTGATTCGCTGGCGTCAGGAGGTCAGGGATACTTAAAGGTCTTGTCACAAAAAGGAAAATACAGTACTTACCCTAAGGGTGAGGGGAAAATCTCCAAGTACAGTTGAAGGTCACTGTTTAAGACTAAGATCTCTTTAGCTTGGTGGGACAGTTTCTAGGAATGCCAAATACTTGCTAGAGCAGTTTCCTTATCAGGGAAGGGTCTGGCCTATACTCTGCCCTGAGGGCTATGTGAAGCTCCTTACAGGACCTGGTGTCACCCAGATCAGGGGAGACTTTTAGAACCTTGCCGAGAAAAGGTGGTCTATCATCGTGGTCCAAGCACAAATAAATGGCTATCCAGAAATGTCAGACTTCAACCTTGTCCAGCAGAGCCCCACAGTCTCCCTCATTTGGAGCAGAGTATTTGTTTGAGTTCTCCGTTCAAAAGAGAGTGGGTTATCTAAGGCGATTCTACTCATTCGGCTGCATTATTAAGTAGAGAAAGTAGCTAAAGATAAGGAAGAAATGAATTGCTGGATGTTCATATCAACACAATGTCAAAGGGGTCTAACTTAGAAAACAATAATGTAGCTGGGTGTGGTGGCACACACCTATAATCCCAGCACTCAGGGAGGCAGAGGCAGGCGGATCTCTGTGAGTTTAAGGCCAGCCTGGTCTACAAAACAAGTCCAAGACTGCCAAGACTACACAGAGAACTCCTACCCCTATCCCCCCCCCCCCCCCCAAAAAAAAACCCAAGAAAACAATAATGCCTGAGGACAGTGAGAACAGAAAATAAGTAGGCTCTCTTTGGACTTCAAGATAGGTTTAAACGACATGATAACTACACAAATTCTGGTCACTCTTTTCCATGTTCTTTTCCTTTTTTTTTTTTTTTTTTTTTTTTTTTTTTTTTTTTTTTTTTTTTTTTGAGACAGGGTCTATGCAGATCAGATTGGCTTTAAATTCTTTAATTCCAAAGTTCTGGAAATAAAGGTGATTGCTACCACATTAGGCCCACTCTTTTCCTTTTAAGTTATAGATATTGTCAGATCCTCAAGTCAAGCATACATTTTAGTTCCTATTTATTTTCTACTCTCTTCCTACTTCGAGATTTTAAAGGTCTAAGGACAAACCAGTGGTGATGGAACATGTTTGTAATCTCAAGACTCAGAAGGTTGAGGCCAGAAAAACTGAGTCTGTGACCAGCCTTGGCTGAAAAGTACATTCAAGACCATCTTGAGCTAAAGAATAAGAGCCTATCTCAAAATAACAAAACATGAAAGCCTGTAAATATAACCCCTATCCCACCAAAGTCTAAGAAGAGAGACTATTGTACATTATAACATCTAGTGGGCAAGACCTACCACACTGTACAGAGACAATATCTATTTGTTAAATAAATTTGATCTATATTAACATATATTTATATATAAGTATAAAAGCAGTGTAAGTTGCTTCAATTACTCAAACTATTTTAAATTGTCTACATACAGTAATAAAGGGAAAATGAGTCCCTAAATGTTGTTTCTGTCACTTAGAATTTGTGGGACTAAGAAAAGTTAATTTAGTGGGCTTGTTTGTATTCCTGTATTAGACAAATACAATACTTTTTTGCAATTATAAGGAGAATTACATGAAAAAGTTTTGCTGTATTTGTAGAGGCATTTAAAAAAACTTGATAATCTTGGACCCAGAACTCTAGCCAATTTTTTTTTTAAGTTGAGAGAGCTTAGAAACTAACATATGCTATTCCTATTGTTTCCTTCTGTTTGAGAACTGTTCATTTGTAAAGCAAACTTGCCTTCAAGTTGGTAACTGAAGTAGAGAATTGATTAGTTCCCATAGAACTGATGGATTTACCGTTAAAACAGTTTACAGCATCTAACTTGGTGCCCAACACACAGTAAACATTCAACACATACTTTTTGAGAGTAAATTAACAAAATATTGAGTAAGGATGTCTCAGACAGATAATTATAGGATGGACATGATATATTGTACAAACATGGGCAGATTTTATCAAATGGAAAATTTGTAATGATAGTCTATCTAAATAAGTTGTATTTTCATTCATTCCTTCAATATCATTATACTGTAGGTTTGATGGAAATCAGCCGCAACAGTAGCTTGAGGATCCATATCAGTCACTTTTTTTTACCACTATGTCAAAATACCCTACTGGATCAACTCAAGAAAGGATTGTCCCTCCTGGTTTCCCCCATGGTGGGAAGATGTGTGGAGTGGCACTGTAGTAGTGGGAACCTGTGGCAGAGCTCTTGACACAACAGATCAACCAGGAATCATGGAGCAGGACCAGAAGTAGTAGGTCAGGCTAGAATCCTCAAAGGCCTACCTTCTAAGGCCTACCTCCATAAACAGGCCCCGAAACCTTCCAGAACAGTTCTACCAGCTGATGACATGGCTTATTTATTTTTATTATTTTTTTATTTTTGTGGGTGTGGGTGTTTTGAGACAGGGTTTCTCCATGTAGCCTTGGCTGTCGTCCTGGGTTCACTTTGTAAACCATTGATCACCTGCCTTTGCCTCCCAGAGTATTACAGGTGTGTGCCACTGGGCCTGACTGCTTATTTAGTTTTAAATTTTAGTGTTGAAAAAATTATTTATAGGGTTCTATATGTGTACAGAGGCCAGAAGAGGGTACTGGATATCCTAGAGCTGGAGTTTGAGACAGCTGTGGTTTAACCAACATTGCTGCTAGGAACTGAACTCTGGTTCTCAGCAAAAATAGCAAACGGTCTTAACACTGAGCCCTCTCTACAGGTCCAGGAACATGTATTTAAATAAAATATATGATTCTGTAGGGGACAGTTCAGACTCAATCTGTAAGTCTCTCTCTTTCCCCTCTCCCATGTTAGTGCAATACAGCAAATAAAGAACTAAGTGCAGAAAGTTATCAGTACCAAAGGAGATTCTTGCCAATATAAAGCAGAATGGTATGTCAACGCATAGCAGGCAGTATACATGTGGGAGAATGGAGACAGATGAGGCTCAAGAAGCAGTCAGGTCAGGGATAGATCATAAAGAGCCTTGTTTCCTGCTCAGAGACCCGATTCTTATCGTCTAGGATGGGGACAGTGGCGTTTGTTTTACTTTTTGTTATAGCAGAATACTACAGACTGGATAAGTTTTCTTTGTTTTGTTCTTTTGAGACATGGTCTCTCTAGCCCTAGCCTGTCCTTGAACTATCTATGTAGACCAGGCTGGCATTGATCATAGAGTTCCATCTTCCTCTGCCTTCTGAGCCCTAGAATTAAATGTCTACAGCACCACCACCAGTAGCAGCAGCACCTCAGACAGGGTTTCTCTGTGTAGCCCTGGCTGTTCTGGAATTCAGTTTGTAGACCAGGTTGGCCTTGAACACAGAGATCTGCCTGCCTCTGCCTCCCCAAGTGCTGGGATTAAAGACAAGCATCACTGACGCTGCTACCACCACCCGAAGAGAAGACTTAATTTAATTTTATTTTTTTTCCTCACAATTTATTCATTATATATCCAGACTGAAGCCGCCTCCTTCACCCTCCCCCTCCCTCCCCACACCCCCATCCCCTTCCCCTAGTCCACTGAAAGGGGGAGTTCTCCACTATTGCCAGCTGCCCATAGCTTGTTCAGTCTCATCGACTTCATCGATCCTCTTCCTCCATGGCCTGTCAAGGCTGCATCATAGACTGGGTAATTTTTTTTAAGATTTATTTATTTATTATGTGTAAAAGGATCTGTGTGCATGTACACCTGCACACCAGAAGATGGCACCAGAACTCATTATAAGTGGCTGGGAGCCACTATGTGGTTGCTGGGAATTGAACTCAGGACTTCCGGAAAATCAGCCAGTGCTCTTAACCTCTGAACCATCTCTCCAGCCCAGACTGGGTAATTTTTAATAAACATACATTAACTAATTCTGGAGGCCAGGAGGTCCTAAATCAAGAGCTTGGTTATTCTAGAACACAAGGCAAAGAGAAAGCAAGAGAGGAAAGAGTTGGAACTTCAAGTCCTTTTATAATTAGCATTAATCCATTTATGATCTGGACACCTCCCATTAAGCCACACCTCTTAACACTGTTGAAGATTAAGTTCCAACACATTAATTGGTTGTTGTATGAATAGGGCACATTTTGGAGACAGAATCTTTGGAGAGTTACTAGACAATTTTAGTGCAAAGACAATCCCATTTTAGCTTCAGAAACTATCAACTGGAGGGTTGAACAATGATAGAGAAAAGAGCTAAGAAATTACTAGAATAGTTTGAAAATAAAAGGGATTATAACGGATTAAAACTTGCACACATATATTCATCACACATGCATACCACACACAAATGCAACAAACAAACAAATAACCCAAATCTGGTCACTCCACTGCCTGATAAACATGGGGCACCCAACTACAGATGGACCAAAGGGAGTTTAACAGTTTCATGAAATTTCAAGCTGGTGTGACAAGAATGAAACCTGAATGAAGGCTTAAGAACCTCGAATTCCTGCCAAAAGCGCGGTGCTTCAGAATTTCAACCAGTCACAGTGTGTGCTTTTTGTGAAACAGAGAGGGAATGGGAAGAGACCACAGAATTCCTCATACCACATACAATTTTAAACATCCATTAGCTTTTCATCTTTTGAGAGAGTCAACAGATTCAAGCACAGTATTCTAGATTTGATGGCAGATGGTGTACACAGATTTTGAGTACGCTAGCATTTCATTAGAAACTAGCAACATTACATATAACCAGGATGGCAACTTAACATTCACGGAGAATTTAAAATTTATCCTTAACTCTGATTAAATGTGGTTGCATTAATAGCATTTTAAAAGGCTTTGTTAATAGATTGTCTGGGTTTCATAGATTGGAGTCTCGGGATGTAATACTGTTCTAAAATGCCCACCGGGCAGCGTCAATATCTTTCCATGGAAATCTGGCTCACACAAGAGGAGAAAAGAGGCCAAAGGGAAGAAAGACTAAACCAGGGGAGATCGCAGGTACTGATGTCTGACTCTCTGAATGGGACTTCTCCATTTCCCCAGCAGTCTCACTTCCTTCTATGGTGTGGGCCTTTAATCTCCTTACTTGTCAGCCTTGTAGGGTCAAGTTAATCACTGTTGACATCATCCTACTACTTCCCTTTTCAAATTCCACTGAAGCTATGTGTTTCCTGTCGTATTTGACACCCGTTAGAGCATGAATACCAGGCTGGCTTATATCTAAATTTAGCCCTGGCAGGAACGTGGCGAGTTTTAGTAGTCAAGATAAACAAAAGTGGGTGACATTTCCAACGCCCTCAAGGAAGAAGACGGGGTGCAAAAGAGACCTGTCACTAACATTATGGGGTGGGGGATGTATCTGAATAGTTCCATACCCAAAGGGCCTGCTCGTAGGCTCAGGAAAAAAAGAGACTGGCTGGAGCCTTTTCCTTTAAGGCAGAAGGGCCCTGGGGTCGTCGCCAAATTGAGAGGCGAAGCCCCGGAGCCCAGACACCTCCGTCTCGGGGAGATGCCGCGCACAGGCAGCCGCCTCACCTCTTTGTCAAGCCCACGGCGTCAGCCTCACGACACGAGCACGTCCTCGCCCTGGGGGTGAAGAGAGGGGCGCAACGGGCCGCCCCCCCCCCCCCCCCCCGGGCCGCGCGGGCCGCGCCTCGGGCGACCTGTTGGCAGGAAGCGTCACGTGACGCGGCGGGCCGCGCGGTTCCCCGCGGGCCGGCCTCCTGTTGCGCCCGCCGGGCGGGTTCCACCACGTAGCGCGCGGGCGCGGCCCCGCTCGTCCCTCGCCCCAGC